GATCTCCGTGAGTTCGAGGCCGGCCTGGTCTACAGAGCAAGTTCCAGGACAGCCAGGGCTACACAGAGAAACCCTGTCTCAAAAATCCAAATAAAAAAATATAAATGATGTGTTTCAATCTCAGTTTACTCCCCACTGAGACTTTGAGCCCCCATACTTATTCTATGAGGCTGCTCTGTCCTCTTTGCATTTTAGTCGTAGTGAGCCAATTCTGGAAACCCGTCCCCCACCCTGCTCCCATGGCTAGTTGCATTCAGATTCCCACATTGAGTGTTTATGCCTGGCCTGTGAGGGACTTCCTGTCACTTAGGAGCTCCTGCTGATTAATCTTCTGCACTAGAAGCCTTTGTAGAGAGCCTGAATCACACAGCATGGGAAGTGTTGTGCACATTTTCTTCTTTCTCAGGTAACTACGTGCAGAAGTAATCACAGCCAGCTCATCACCTCTGGTCCACTGCCTCACTATGGAAGGTTGTGACAGGCATCAGAGACAAGTGAAGGGTGTGGCTACAGCTGCCGAAGTGGTTGGATTGGGGTGTTCCGCCTTTAGAAACTCAGTAAAACCATCTAATGCTAGGGATAAACATCAAAAAACTAAATTCAATGCTTCAGAGTTGCTTTTTAATTCATTAGTACTTCTTATTGCTGTGAAGGTCTGCGTGTGGCATGTGTATGATGCCTGTGGTGGGACATGTGCGCCAAGTGATAGTGTGGAGGTCAGAGGATGACTTTTTTTTTTTTCCAGAGACAGTTCCTTCATTTGACTGTGAGATTCAGGGGTTGAACTCAGGTTGCCCAGCTTTCATGGAAGGTACTTTTATGCATTGACCCATCTTATCAGCTCCCTTTTCATTTTAGTAGTTTAGACCATCTTGTTACATATCCCAGGCTGGTCTTGAACTTCAGATTATTCTTCTCTGGCTTTTAAATTGGAAGTGTGCACCAGCCTGGCACAGATTCAACACTAATATGCCATGGTGTTGTAGTCTTCGTATTTTTATCACTACTAATAGGGATGGACTCTCAGTCTTTAGGTTATTTTGTTCTACCACCTAATTAGCTTACATCACTCTGGTTTATTCCATAGGTCACTGCTTGTTGATCAGCTTTCAGGTCATCTTCTAGACTGACAAAATCAGCAGGAGGTATCTTTATCTGCATAGAGAACATGTATTGAGTTTGAACACACGCACATTTCATGAACAGCTTAAAGGAAAAGCTAAATAATCTTGAGACCATACAGGAATGTTTGGGGTATAATTATGAGAAATAAGTGTCAGAGGAGGACAACAGAGTTGTGTGTGAATGTCAAACAAGCAGAATTCATACCAATATAGCTACATTGTCTTACCACATTATTAGCTAACAAGAGAAAGAGTCAAATCCGCATCAGTGTTCACATAGGAAAGTTTTAAAATGTTTGACATAAAAAAAAAGTAGAATCAAACAATCATCTCAAGTATGATTTCTGAGCAGATACTCTCATACCAGATAAACTAAGTTAAAGCACTTCGCTGTTAAATACCAGCTGGACTGGTTGCACATTCTTCATGATGTAGATTTCTTTAGGGGATAAAGGTGATGAGGAAGTAACATTTTTTTTTTTTTTTGCCTCACCTGCACAGATATGTATAGGGCATTAAGACATGTCTATGCTTTACTGTAGGCTAAAAACTGGGAGAAGATTAAATTTCCTTCACCAATGGCAGAATGAAGCAGGCAGTGATGAGAAAAAAAATGGTACTAATATTGTGTTGCTGTTAATATGAAACAACCTTAATACTAATAATCATTTGTTAAAAGAATAAAAATGTTTTCCACACATTTTCTGATTGGAATTTTGTGAGCAGCTTAGAGCCACATGAGGTTTTTATGTTCTCTGAGGATGATTTTTTTTTTTTAGACATAGTTTCTCTGTGTAGCTTTGTATATCAGGCTGGCCTTGAACTCACAGAGATCCGCCTCCCAAGTGCTGGGATTAAAGGCATGTGCCATCACTGCCTGGCAAGGCTGAGAGTAGTCCCTTTTGAGACCTGACCTTTTTCTAGTTCAGGCTTTGTGGGAGCAAGTACTTAGCTGTCAATGCATGGGTAGCCATAACGTGTATATTTTGTGTGATTATCCAGAGATATCTATGATAGTAGTTATGTGAAATTTCCAAAGGTACCCTATATATTCTGACCTAAAAATCGAGAACACACTTAGGCAGAGCCACCACTAGTGGCTACTGAAAACATAGTTTTTGAGTGAGAGGGGAGCCCAGCGCTGACACGGATGACAGAAGACAATGCTGGTGAGAGGTTTGTCTTCAGATGATACGATGCTGATCTCTGTGTCTGATCATGTCCTGTACCTAAGGGGAAGAAGAAAAGGGAAATTTTCCATTTGGAATCACTACATCTTGTGGGGATTAATTAAGTAGACGCTTAAAATACACAAGTCTTTGGGCTGTGCAAGCATAAATAATTTAGAATCCATAAATGAAGGCTGTGTGGTGTCATCTCTAGATAAACAGTTACAAAGTAGAGACACAGAAGCTGTGAGAGACAGCTCAGTGGTTAAAAGCACACACTGCTCTTGCAGAGGACTTGAGTTTGGTTCTCAGCACCCTAGTCTGGTGGCTCAGGACTGCCTGTAATTACAGTCCCAGGAGCCCTCTTCATAACTGAGATTTTGCTACTGTTATGATCATAATGTAAATGTCTGTGTTTTTCAGTGGTCTTAGATGATCCCTGTGAAAGGGTCTGTTTGATCCCTAAAGGGTCATGACCCACTGACTGAGAACCACTGACCTAACAGAACAGTGACTAAACTGCTCCCTAAAATATTAAAGAGCTGGAAGGGTGGAAACAGGAGGATCCCTTTAGAAAGATAAAAGCAGCTGGCTGATGGTGCACGCCTTTAATCCCCAGCACTCAGGGAGGCAGAGACAGGCAGATCTCTATGAGTTGGAGGGCAGCCTGGTCTACAGAGTGAGTTCTAGGACAGTCAGGGCTACACAGAGAAATCCTGTCTTGAAAAACAAAACAAAGCAATAATCAAACAAAAGAAAGGAATACAAAAAGAAAGAAGGAAAGGGAGGGAGGGAGGGAGGAAAAGAAAAACACAACAATTTTTTTTATGTGGGTGCCAGGGACCAAACTCTGGTCCTCATGCCTAAACAGCAAGCATTTTACTGAGCCCTCATGTAGTGATTTTTCTAATTCAATTTTCAGTGATAAAATTTCTACACAGGGGCTGAGGAGATGGGTAGAAGTAAAAGTACTCACTGCACAAACACAAAGGCCTGAGTTCAAAATCCACATAAAAGCCCAATATGAGGCAGGAGCTTTTTAATCTTAGTGTTCTCACAGGGATATATAGAGAGATAGTGTGTTCCTATAGAAGGTAGAGAGTTCCCAGCAGACATACAGAGCATGCTAATCTGCTATAATCAGCAGAAAAACAACAAAGAGACCCTGTCTCAAACAAAGTGGAAGGTGAAGAATGACACTCCAGGTTTTTCTCTGACCTCCACATGTGCTCTAAGGTACCCACAATGCCCGTGTTCACACACACACACACACACACACACACACACACACACACACACACACACACACACACACACACACTCTGTACAGTATATAAGCAAAGATTCCTTCATTGTGTTTATGAGCCTGGGCATAAACCGCCATCTGATCTCAGAAGTATGCACTCACAGGACAGATTCCAAGTAGTGTAGCCTATGCTTGAACATGTGGTCTGAGGTAAGACATCAATCACAAAAGACAAGACAGAACTCAGGGTTTAACATCAAGCATGTTACTGGCCTGCAAAACCCCCAACATTCGCCAAAGGACTATAGCAGAACTCATTCTGCATGCTATGTTTACACCATTCAAGACTGCCTAAAATGATCTTATACACACTACAAGCAGGAAAGATGATTAACAGATATTGACTCGGAGATAATCTTATTATTGAAATGATCAAAACAAGACCTCTAAAGTCAGGAGATCTTTGTCCAGGAAAGAAAAATACACTGAAAAGAAAAGAGAAACACAGGAAATGGCAGGAAAAGTGGAAAATATAAATAAGGCCAAATAACTTTTTCAAATTAAAATATAATTTCTTCCTTTTCCTCCCTCCAATTCCTTCCATGTCCTCACTCTTCTCAAATTTATGGCCTTTAGTGTGTGTGTGTGTGTGTGTGTGTGTGTGTGTGTGTGTGTTTGTGTGTGTGTGTGTTTGTGTACAGTTATGAAGCAGCAATGAAAATGATTTCATGGTTGGGGATTACCACAACATGAGGAACTGCATTAAAGGGTCGAAACATTAGGAAAGTTGAGAACCACTGTCTTAGGCTCACTTGACATCTAACCTAGTCCAATTGGTGAACTCCATGTCTCATCTTGTCTGTCTGTCTGTCTGTCTTTACTCAGGGCTGCTTAGAATTCACTCCGTAGCCAGGCTAGCTAAACAATCCCCCTGTCTTAGCTTTCCAATCACCGAGATTCCAGTTGTGAACCACCACACTCTCCTCCTCTGTATTTATCTTACTGTGTTCTGTTGTTTTTACATTTTCATTTCTCTTTTCTATCATGCCCCTTTTCTCTATCCTTTCCCCATTTCCCTTCTTTATAAACGACCTCATCATTTATCCCTCCAGCGTTGACACTGTTTAAAGTTGCAGTGCATCCTGAAGGGGTTTAGTTCTCTTCTAACCTTATTGGAGGGTAGCTCATTCATGTTTCCCTGGGTTTCTTTTGTTGTTGTTGTTGCTACAATTAAATATATGACATCCTTTGAATTGGTTTTTATTACTTCTGTCTGAGGAAGAATGAGGTGACAGGTTGAGGAAATTTCACATGCATACAACCACAAAGAAAAAATATACATGTGAATATAACCATAACTTTGAAGAACTTTGGGATGTGATCAAGAAACCAAACTTCAGAATCCATGATGTAGAAGAAAGAGCTGAGGTCAAAAATTAAAGGTTGGGCTGGAGAGATGACTCAGTGGTTAGAGAGCTTGCTGCTCTTCCAGAGCAACTGAGTTTGGTTCCCAGAAGCCACATTAGGCGCTTTACAACCACCAGAACTCTAGTTTCAGGGAATCCTACACCTTTTCTGTCTTTCATGGACATCCTCACCCCCACCTCTCACACATGCACACTGATCCACTGACACACACACACACACACACACACACACACACACACACACATCTTTAGGGAAAAATAACCAATTCAATAAAATTATAGTAGAAATTTCCCCAAATATAGGAAAAGAGGTGGGCATTCAACAGTAGGAGGCATTTAAAATTCTAAATAAGCATAACCAGAAAATGATTTCCCCACAGTGCATTACAGTTAAAATTCTTAAGACTAAAGAATGAAAAAAAAAAAGACAATTGGAAGCTGAGTTAAAGGAGAAAGATACCAACTTATGATCATAAGCAAATTCTTCAGAACTACAATGGATTTCTCAGCAGAAACCCTAAAAGCTGAGGAAGTGTGAAACAATATTTCAAGTCCTGAGAGGTAAATGTGGGACATGAGGACATGGAGATTGCATAAATAGTGTCAGTATCTAGAGAAAGGAGAATACTCCATGATTAGTATGGAGACAGTCAAGTCTATAGAGAAGATTAAAACTTGGAGAACACTCAAAGGATGGACACCTGTCTAGGGGAAAGGTGGCCACTGGGGAAGGAGGAAGGCTAGGGAATAACTAGAGTTGAAGGTGAGAAATGATTACAGTGTCAAAGGTCTCAGGGTTTGAGGCAAGGGAAGAGAAGGCTGGAGAATTTTTTTTTCATTTGTCCTGTGGGGTGTTTTTGTGATATCAAAGATGACAGTTTTAGAGGGAATAGATGAAGGGTGATTGCAGGAGATTTAAGGAAGAAATGGAAAAGCCCAGTGCTCACCTCAGCTTCTCAACAGTTTTGTTTGTGGCTTTCCCCCCCCACATATGAAGTTCAGAAGGCTATGGCCAAAATCATTTCACTTTCTAACTTCTCTTCCAATGGCACTAATGTTTTGTCTTTCAATTGTGAGCATCGAAGAACTCAGTATTCCAGAGACCTCTCTGACTGTTCTTTCTAGACACTAAATTCAACTATGGGGATTCCAGTTATCTTTTTTACCAGGTCTCAGGTAAGCTGTAGGACAACTTTAAGTGATCCAAAATACATATAATTGGGATCCCTGGAGGAGGGGGCAAAAGGACTGACTCTTGCAGATTGTCCTCTTGCCTCTGCACACACTTCATGGTACATGGCACCCAACACACACACACACACACACACACACACACACACACACACACCCTATTAGTGTGTATGCTTGCATGTATGTGGAGGTATATGTTTGTGTAACTTCATTAATAATTCTTAAAGCTAATATTAAAATCAGAGATGTGTTTAAAAAAGAATAAAGTAGGCAAACTTTCCCTATTGGTACTGAGTTATTCCAATCAGGGAATTGCTAGGGGAAACCTCTAGGAACCCACAAAAATGACCCCAGCTAAGACTCCTGGCAATAGCAGAGAGGGTGCCTGAACTGGCCATCTACTGTAAGCAAATTGATGACTTCCTTAACTGCTATCAGAGATACCTATCCAGTAACTGATGGAAGCAGGGGCAGAGATCCACAGCCAGGCACTGTACTGAGCTCTGAGAGTCATGTGGAAGAAAAGGAAGAGGGATTGTACTAACCAGGAGGGTCAAGATGGGAGAATCCACAGAGACAGCTGACCTGAGCTCTCCAGAGTTCATGGACACTGGAACAACAGTCAGGGAGCCTGCATGGGATTGACCTAGGCCCTTGGTATGTAAGTAACATGTGAGGACAGAGAGTTAGGAGCGATGGAGCAGAGAGAGGGGTCAGAAGGAGAGAAATGACCTCGTAGCCATGGAAGCATGGTTAGAAAACAGCCAAGAAAATGCTGAATAAACAAGAGGCTCTAGTTTTACAGCATGGAACTGAGAGCTCTCTAAAGATGACAAGATGCCTGTGTTTGGTCTTTATCACCATTGGGTTGCTAGGAGTTTCCAAGTCCATGCTCGCCCACTCAGGCCGAACCTCATGGCTACAGTGGCCATGTGTGTGACAATTGTGTAGCTTGGTCTCCTAGTAAGGTTTCTAACAGCAAGAGCACGACTTCTCCCTGGCACTTAGCTGGCTTTTGGTAACCTGTTCCCTATAATGGACTACCTGGCCTTGCCTGGACATAAGGTGAGGAGCTAGGTACTGCCTTAACTTGATGGGTCGTGCTTTGGGCAAGCCCATGGGAGACCTGCCCCTTTCTAAGTGGAGGTGGAGGAGGAATGGATGGGGAGGGGAGTAGATAGGAAATGGAAGGGGACAGGAGGAGCAAAGTGGGAGGGGAAACTGGTTGTTATGTTAAATAAATGAAAAAAATTATTTAAACTAAAAAAGAATCTTATTTTGAAGCAAGTTTAAATAAATATGTGAAATGACTGAAATAAAGAGAATATGTAAATTATGGCACTTACTAAAAGGGGTTGGTTTCTGGATGAATGAAAGAAGTGAATCTTTACCTTATCTTATACTATATACAAAACTGATTCAAGATTGTAGACATATATGTGAAAGGTAACAAATAAACAAGCCCTGCTTTATTTTACACACACACACACATACACACACACACAGACAGAGAGAGAGAGAGAGAGAGAGAGAGAGAGAGAGAGAGAGAGAATGAGAATGTAGGGAACCATAGTCAAATGTGGGTGAAATTTCTAATATAAGACAGTGGAAGTATTAATCATAAAGAAAAAAGGTTACATTTGTTATTACACTTAAGGATTTCTACTCCTCAAAAGGTAAGAGCTAGAGAGTGAGACAGTGTGTGGAAGGATATACAAAACAAACACCCACAGCCACAACAGCCTGCTGCTGAGGAGTAAGATATGAAGCAATACTGTAGAAAAAAACACATGCTTCCAGATGGCCAGTAAACACATGGAAAAACATGCAGATGCCTATCGGCTAGGAAAAGGCAAAAGGACAGTGTGAATTTTACTACTTGCTTACCTGAACAGCCAAGGTTAGATACAGTGGCAGCCATGAACACTGGTAAAGCTGCAGAGCTGCTGGAGGGAGGGGTGCAAACTGGTCCACTCACGTTGGAAAATGAAAACAATCCTTTTGAAGCTAAGCAAACACATGTTCTACAATTCATTGATTAAAGTATACAGCCAAGAGCAATGTACCACTGAAGAACATGAATGGAAAATGCCCACGGCAAGATTTTTCGTAATAGCTCCAAACTGGAAATAATCTGCATGTCCATGAAAAAAGAGAATGGCTCAGCCTCGGTATTCTACACGATGAATAACATGTCATGATGAAGAGGGATCATGATGAATAGCTACACACAACAGATGGATCCATCTCACAGAGGTAAGACAAAAAACAGTGCTGAGTGTAGACGGTGCAACTTGATGATAGCTCAGAGAGCTCTCGGGCCTCAACAACAGTGTTTCTTGATTCATGTTCAGCAGTAGAATTTTAAAGAAAAGTTGTCAAGCTATTATAGAGGTCAAAATAAGCTATTTCTCTGTGGGAAGCCATTAGAGAGAGCCTTCTGTGAGGCTGGGATGTTCAGTTTGAGACAGGTTCTCACTATGTAGCCCTAGCTGGCCTTGAACTCACAGAGATCTGTCAGCCTCTGCTTCCTCAGCACTGGCATTCAAGATGTGAGTACATCCCTAGCATGGTTCTGTACTCCATTAAGAACTCCTGAATGGAAGCTGCAGTATATTTCCGTGGCGATGCCTTGGAGTTGCCCATGGCTTGCTTTGTTCACCGGCCTGTGTATGTGCTGTTTTCTGACAAGGAGAATACAAGGGATGTTCTCTCCCACTCCATACCTGACCTAGCATGAAATCCAGGGGATCGTCCGGCTTTTCGTAGACTAGGTTCTCAGTGATCTGCTGCGAGAGAGCACAATGCACCACACTTGGTTCCTAGAGGTCTGCAGCCAGCCCCCGACCACCCAAGGATATATTATAGTCATTTCAAAGACATTCACACGTCCCCAAGTAACATCTTCGTTATTTGGAGGACATCAGGCAAATTGAGATCAGATATGGAGGGATAAAATTTTAATTTAAGGAGCAATGAATATTTTTTGGTTGTTTCCAAGACCAAAGGAATGGTGGAAACGTTGCAAAGTTTTTGAGAATGGTGATATTGCTAGATGATCAGTTAATAAATTGTTTGCTTGAAAAAGAATCGAAGAAGGGCATTTGTGTAGAAATGAAAAACACTGGGGATTTACATATAAGTCTTCCGAAATGCTTGACTTTAAAAGGTGAAAATTGTTTTTAGTCTTAGTATTAAATGAGGAAGGGTATATCAGATTTATGAGACCTACTTCTGTACATTTTGCTGTTGTTGAACAACTCAAAATGTTATCATAAAGCAAGCAAACATCCTCATTTGCAGGGAATAACAATCAGGTACATTTCAGGAATAATATATTCAAATATGTTCAATGTACCTGTATCACCCAATTATATATTTAATACATACTTGGAATTTTTAATTAAATTAATTAATCAATTGATTTTATAGTTCTGGAGACCTTGTGGATGTGAGGCAAGTATTTTCTCACTAAACTACATCTCCAGCCCCTTCATATATATTATTAACAATATGCATATTTAATAATTTATTTTCTTTAATATCACACTGCATTAATAAGCATTATTTTTCTTTAATTTGAAAAATTAACAATGGTCAATTTTTTTTAAGAAAATTAAATTTATTACTAGTATGTATATATGTGTGTGCGTGTGTGCATGTGTGTGTGTGTGTGTGTGTACCTTGGTCCATGTGGGGAGCTTGTATTAGTGTGTGTGTGTGTGTGTGTGTGTGTGTGTGTGTGTGTGTGTATGTGCAGCTTGGTCCAGGCAGAGAACTTGTATTAGTGTGTGTGTAAGCATGTGTGTGTGTGTGTGTGTGTGTGTGTGTGTGTGTGTGTAGCTTGGTCCATGTGGGGTACTTGGAGGACAGCTCTATGAAGTCAATTATCTCCTTTCACCTTTACATGGGTTTTGGGGATTGAACTCAGATCATTAGGCTTTGTAGATCAAAAGGCAAGGGTTTTAAACCACTACATTATCTTGCTGCCCCAAACTCTGCTTTCCTAAATACATTTCCCCCCTTCTGTTTAGCAGTTACTAGTTCTCTGATAAAAGGCAGAAACCTAGTCACTTGCACTGTACAACCAAAGGACATTTTTAGAGGGAACCATCACAAATTGGCTAATGAAATAGATACATAAATTTAAAAATATTTTTAATTTAAATTAGAAACAATCTTATTTTACATAACAGTTCCAGTTCCCTCTCCCTCCCATCCTCCCATGCCCCCCACCGACATCCCACCCCCATCCTTCCCCAATCCACTCCCCAGGGAGAATGAGGCCTTCCATGGGAGATCATCAAAGTCTGTCATCATTTGGAGCAGCGCCTAGGCCCTCCCCCGTGTATTGAGGCTGGGAGAGTATCCCTCCATGGGGCAATGGTCTCCCAAAATCCATTTGTGCACTAGGAATAAATACTGGTTCCTCATCAGAGGCTCCATAGACTGCCCAGGCCTCCAAACTGACATCCATGTTCAGGGGGCCTGGTTTGGTTCTATGCTGGTTCCCCAACTGTCTGGCTGGGGTCCATGAGCTCCCGCTTGCTCAGGTCAGCTGTTTCTGTGGGTTTCCCCAGCCTGGTCTTGACCCCTTTACTCATCACTCCTCCCTCTCTACAACTGGATTCCAGGAGTTTGGCTCAGTGCTTAGCTGTGGGTCTCTGATCTGCTTCCATCAGCTACTGGATGAAGGAAGGCTCTAGGATGGCATTTAAGGCAGTCATCAATCTCATTATAGGGGAAGGACAGTTAATGTAGTCTCTCCACTATTGCTTAGATTTTTAGTTAGGGTCATCCTTGTAGATCTCTTGACATTTTGTATGAGGAATCTGAGAGCCATGGAAGCTATGTAATATCCTCCAGCTCATGGAGATGGGACCAACTTAGAATTTGAATGTTGGTGCTCAGAGTGTGATATTTCTTAACCTCCATAATTCTGTGACTGTCAATACAGTTCCTCATGTTGTGCTGACCCCCAGTCACAAAATCATTCTCGATGTTACTTTATAACTGTAATGTTGCTACATGATATAAATACCTGTGTTTTCTGTTGGTCTTAAGTGACTCCGGGGACAAGGCCATCTGACCCCCAAAGGTGTCACCACCCACACCACCCACTGCTCTATACCCTACTTCAAATTTTATTTTGTAGGCTTTCATTAGAGGCAAACTAATCTAGTTTTACACTTATCTAAAAGAGTCAGTCCAAACACACACTGTTACAGTGTTATAGATGGATATGTGTGTTGCTTGTCCAATAATTGTAGCATGCAAAGAAAGTCACTTGGTGAACAAAAACAACCCACCAAACTGAAGTTTCTACAATCTCTCATAGCTCCATTATGCTCAAGAAATCTGTTTAGAGGAAGCTCCTATTTTAAAACCTGGGATCTGTGAGGTTTATGAATTCAGGAGCCGGAAGGAATACGTTAATTCTATCATTTCCTTCAAAAGAGTGTTGCTCTCAGGTGGTCCTGAGACTGGCCTCCTTTTGAAGACCCAGGTCTAAAAAGACCTTTAATTTTTTTTTTTTTTTACTGATTTTCCCCTCATAAACATATTTAAAACTTTATTGGCCAAATTCTTCCCCAACAACCATCCCACACCGTCTCCAATGTCTTTGATGGATGTAATGCTATGGTATCATTTGCTTGGTGTTTTTCCTATATTCCTTTTGGTTAAAACACTAATTTCGGAACTAGACTGTGCTCCCCCCCCCACCTTTTCCAGCAATTTTCTTCACCATATTTAAAGTTCACAACCAGGAAGAAAGGTTAAGAATTAAAAGCTTTACCTTGCTAGGCATGGTGGCACATGCCTTTAATCCCAGTTCTCAGGAGGCAGAGGCATGTGGATCTCTATGAGTTCCAGGCCAGCCTGGTCTATAGAGCAAATTCCTGGACAGCCAGAGCTGTTACACAGAGAAACCCTGTTTCGAAAAAAACCAAAACCAAAACCAAAACCAAAACCAAACCAAACGAAACCAAAACAAAAAGACAGAGCTTTACCTGGAATATCTGAAGAATGTTGTGTTTTTCCATGTAGCGGAGTGCAACTTGATAAGGGTCTTCAAAAACAATGGGAGGGAACAGCCTCTTGGAATCTTCACTTTGTCTCTGAGAACTCTTTCTTTGCTCAAATTCTGCAACAACATCCTGAAATTGAAATAGCCCCCCCAAAGATTTATCTGGGTTTGATGAAATTTAAAACCAAGAATTAAGATTTAACACCAAGTACTAAGTAAGATACTGACTACACTTTCTTCTTTTCTTTTTTATTTAAATTAGAGACAAGCTTCTTTACATGTCAATCTCAGTTCCCTCTCCCTCCCCTCTTCCTCCCCCCCACCCCCTATCCCAACCCCTTTCTGCACCCCAGGGAGGGCGAAGCCTTCTATGGGGGATCTTCAAAGTCTGTTATATCATTTGGAGCAAGGCCTAGACCCTCCCCAGTGTGTCTAGGCTGAAAGAGTATCCCTCTATGTGGAGAGGGCTCCCAAAGTTCATTTGTGTACTGGGGGTAAATACTGATCCACTACCAATGGCCCCATAGACTGTCCAGACATCCAAACTGACTTCCTCCTTCAGGGGGTCTGGAACAGTCCTATGCTGGTTTCCCAGCTATCAGTTTGGGGTCCATGGGCAACCCCTTGTTCAGATCAGCTGTTTCTGCGTGTTTCTCCAGCCTGGTTTTGACCCCTTTGCTCATCACTTCTCCCTCTCTGCAACCGGATTTCAGAGCTCAGCTCAGTGGTTAGCTGTGGGTGTCTGCTTCTGCTGCCATCAGCTACTGGATGAAGGCTCTAGGATGGCATATAAGGTAGTCATCAATCTCATTATCGGAGAAGGACATTTAAAGTAGCCTCTCGACTTTTGCTTAGATTGTTAGTTGGGATCTCTGGACATTTCCCTAGTGTCAGATTTCTCTTTAAACCTATAATGGCCCCCTCTATGATGGTATCTCTTTTCTTGCTCTCCTCTATTCTTCCCCTGACTAGATTTTCCTGTTCCCTCCTGTTCTCTTCTCCCCTTCTCTTTCTTCTAACTCCCTCTCCCCTCCCCAATGCTCCCCATTAGCCTAGGAAATCTTATCTCTTCCCCCTTCTCCGGGGGACCATATATGTCTCTCTTAGGGTCCTTCTTGTTTCCTAGCTTCTCTAGCATTGGACTATACTACTTGTGTGTGTGTGTGTGTGTGTGTGTGTGTTTATGTGCACATGTGTGTGTTTGTGACCAGTGATCTTAAGGGTTCCTTACAGGAGTATGGGTCAAAGGCTATTTACAGAAGCACGGGTAACTTACCAGTGGTTACATCACAGAAGAAAATATATCTGCCCTGGTAACCATAAACTGCCTATGATCCTCAGAGCCAGTTCTCTGAGAGGTCCAATTCACCCTTAAGTACTATAAAGTGCTTCAAAACTTAGTGGGAGGGTATCTTAGGTTTCTCTATTTCAAATACATTCTCTCACACAGGGATTTCCAGTTTACTTCAAATCTCCTTGCTATGGTAGAAACCCAGTGTGGGAAATGATCTACTATATTATGATTCAGCACAGACTTAGTAGCAGAACCTAAATCCATTGGTTTCCCAAATCCTGGTTCACCAATTCTTCCAGAGTGGCCTGAGGATAACTGGGAGGCAGTATCTTTTGTTTCCCATCCTTCCTGAAACCTATGGATTGCATGTAACACGTTACATGGGCTTACTCCTCATCTCTGATTTAGCATGCATCTTTCTACCCCAATGTTCTTGTTCCTAACCCCACAGGTCCTGCTGTGGCCCCCAATCTCCCAGGCAGGTATCAGATGTCTCTTTTACCTACTGTAGGTAATTCTGTGGTTTGAGCTTTTTCTTGGCTGGAGGAATAGTACACTTTGGTCGTGATGGAGGGCAGTTTTCCGTATGAGGACTGGGTGTCAGTGGTGAATTCAGCTTCAGGTGGCTTGTAACCTTGGACAGTGGCCGCACTTTCTGTTTCCCAGGAAGCTGAGACCTTGGATCTGAGATCTGTTTGGCTAACTTCAAATGTGCAAGGCTGTATTTTGAAGTCAGCTTCTCTGACCTCTTTGTTGTCAACAATTTCAGATAATGATCGGTTCTCAGTCTGGGCAAGTGTTTTGTAGTATGAGCGGTAGTCAGCCATTTGTGCGTCACGTTTCATACGGACATAGTCCCTATAGTCCCTTTCCTGATCCCCACTAAACCTATGTTGACCACTGAAGTCTTCAGGCAGGTAATCAACTTCATTGTAGACTTGGTATTGACTCCTTCCTGATGTTCTATAGTCAGCTTGGTCTGATGAGGTCTGGTCACCAAACTCCCAAGTTCCTTGGTCAGTCTGCTCAAAAGCTTTCCCACCAAATGGCAAAGATGCTCGGTCATCTGTCTTCTCATAAGCTTTTCCCTCAAATAGGCTGGGCAATTGCTGATTATATGTCTCTGAAGTTTTTCTTTCAGTCTGGCCAGATGATCTGCGGTCAATCTGCTGAGATGTTCCCCTGTGCTCAGATGGCTGAGAAGCCTCTTCAGAAGTTCTTGGGTCAGTCCATCCAGACCCTTCATTAGCAGTTTGGCTGGATGCCTTGTCACTGGTTTGCTCGGATGATCCAACCCCAGTGTTTTCGGAACCTGTGTGAGGATCCTGGCCTGCTCCTTCTTCTATGTAGGTCTTCTGGTTATTTGGGGATTGGGCTGTGTCTTTATTGTCCAAGGATCCATTTGGAGCCTCTTGTGGAGGCTCATCCATTTTCTGCTGCACTTCTGACTGGCCTCCGTTGCCAGGCACTGTGGGTGGGCCTGGGCTTGGTTGTCTAGGCAACCTTCCTTGAGTTTGTGATTCTGTTGGGCTTTGTTCTGCCTCTGCTGAGTAGGTGAGTGGCTATCTGGCTGATGACCGGACAACAATCACTATCAAAACAAAGACTGCCCATGGTCTACTGCAGGGAGAACAACAAGAGCTTGGACACTGTCTCCTGAGAAGAGGTGAAGCCCATAGACAGGCAATATGGAATCTCCATCACTGCCTAGTGTAGTTGGTCTATTTTTCACTCTTACTCTTTTGGATCTTCACTCTTCGGGCCTGCCTCCTAGCTCCCAAACAAATCACAGAGAGTCTTATTCTTACTTATAAATGCCTGGCCTTAGCTTGGCTTGTTGCTATCCATCTTTTCTTAACTTAAATTATTCCATCTACCTTTTGCCTCTGGGTTTTTTTCCTTTTCTTACTTCTGTATAACTTACTTTCTCTCTTCCTCTGTGGCTGGGTAGCTGGCCCCTAGCATCCTTCTCTCTTCCTTTTCTCACTCCTCGATCCTGCTCTGCCCTGATTTCTCCTCCTATTTATTCTTTCTACTTGCCAGTCCTTCCTATCCTTTCTCTAGCCTAGCTATTGGCAGTTCAGCTCTTTATTAGACCAATCATGTGTTTTAGACAGGCAAAGTAACACAGCTGCACAGAGTTAAACAAATCCAACATAAAAGAATGCAATGCATCTTTGCATCATTAAACAAATATTCCACAGCATAAAAATGTAACATATCTTTAATTAATATTCAACAACAGTCTAGCAATGAGGCCTATGATTTTCACTGGTGCCTAGAGCTATTCATCTTCTTGTATTGTTCTGTTTACTTGTTTTGTTTTTTGTTTTCCAGGCAGGTTCAGGCAGTGTAGGGACTAGGTACCACTCTCAGGTTCCACGCTTGTAACCAATGCTCCCCCTCCCCAAACAACATGAGGGTCCCATACCTGAGAAGGTAGACTACTATTGCCATTAAATTAAATTTGTACTGCTTTGGAGTCTAACTTAGCTTTGTCACTGCCATGCTGTATAGCATGTGAGTCATTTTCTTGATGAGTTAGATTAATCATCTATGGTTGGAATGACAATGGGAAGATCCAGGGAGAATGGCTTCTCAATTCAAACTGTCAAGTAGTCTTAGAACAAAAATTGTGTTAGGGTGAGAAGGCCAAACCAGAGTTCCTTAAAGGAAGAAAATTAAGTGTGGACATATACTGAAAGAAATAGTTTGGCAAATAGAAAATTTGCACTTGGTCGTGGTGGCCAGTGGCCACCAGGTTTTAAGATTTGCACCCCTCCTCTGAAATAAATCTTATATAATGCATGTGTGAGGTCAGACAATCTATTGTTGTAAGTTTAATTGCATTAAACAATTAGAGATTTAAAGTTTAAAAGCCAATGGTTGGGGGTCAATCTGTGGAGGGAGTAGGAACTTGATTCCAAATTCAGAAACAGAGAGGGAAGGAATTCCAGGGACACCCAGATGAAGCCATTTATGAACAAGTGCCTAAAACAAAATAGTAGCATAAAAATGCTTGCTGAATAAAAATTTATAAATGAACTGCCATATTTAAGACCATATGTGAGAAGTAGACACCAGGTTAGCATAAGGTAATTGATAAACTGCCTTATAGCCTGCAACTTCAAAAAGATATCAGTCTATATATCTGTTTTTCCATTTAAATACAGCCATCACAGAAAAAGAACCATAAAGAAAAAGTTTCCTCAATATTCAAGATACAACTTTCATTAATATGTGCCTATATCTGTCATATCTATAGATGTGTATACACAATACCAAATGATGATTGATTTAAGAGCTTTCTTTTGCAGTGTAGGTATTTGTAGCCACACATTTTTCTCTGCAGTTACTCCTCTTGCATCCCATAGCTTTTTGGTGTGTTGTGTTTTGTTTTATGCATTTCAAAGTATTTTCTCACACCCCTTAGGATTCCTGATTTGTCACTGTATCTAGGAATTTGTCACTTTCTAAACATTCACAAGTTTTCAAATTTTCTTAATTCCAAGCTTCCTCCTTATGTGTTCTGAGAAGATTCTTTGAATGACGTGATCATTTCTAATGTACAGAGGCTTGTTGTGTGTCCTAATGTACCACTGTGTAAGGTCATGGCCCCTGAGAGGAGTGTGTATTTCCAATGGTTGGACAGAGTGGCTTTCCTTTGTTAGATATGTTTCGTTATGTTGTCTATGTCTTAGAGTTGCTTATTGATTAGTTTAAGTATTCTGTCCATTATTGAAAGTGAGATATTGAAATCTCCAACTACTTTTGTAAAATTGCCTTTCTCTCTTCAAATCTGTTAAGATTACTTTATATTTTGAAGTCAACAGAACTCCATAAACAAATTGTTTATAATTCCTCTATCTTTGTGTTTAGTTGAACTCTTTGTCAGTATGTAAAATACTTGTCTATTTTAACAGTTTGTGACCTAGGGTTTATTTTATTTTGTCTGATATTAACATAGCAAGCAAGCTCTCTTTGGTGACTGTGTGTGTGGTGTGTTTTCTTGCATGCCTTCACTTTCAACATATTTGCAGTATTAGAACCAAGAAGAGCCGGGCGGTGGTGGCGTACGCCTTTAATCCCAGCACTAGGGAGGCAGAGGCAGGTGGATCTCTGTGAGTTCGAGGCTAGTCTTGTCTACAAAGCTATGCAGAGAAACCCTGTCTTGAAAAAGCAAGCAAACAAACAAAAACCAAAACCAAAAAACCCCACTACAGAACCAAGAAAAGTCTCTGACAGAAGAACACACACAATTAGATCATTTTTTCTAAAGTCCATTATGACAAACTATTTCTTTTATTTGAAGAGTTTAGTCCATTTATACTTCAATTGATCATGGAAGAGGAAAGGTCTTCTGTCAGTTTTCCATTGATTAGTTTTCTTTTTCCTTTTTTCCCTTTTCTTTCTTTTTTAAAGATAAATTTCTATTTTTTATTTAAATTAGAAACAAGCTTGTTTTGCATGTCAATCTCAGTTCCCTCTCCTTCCCTTCCTCCCCTGCTCCCCACTGATCCCCCTATCCCATCCCTTTCTGCTCCCCAGGGAGGGTGAAGCCTTCCATGGGGATCTTCAAAGTCTGTCATATCATTTGGAGCAGTGCCTAGACCCCTCCCCCTTGTGTGTCTAGGCTGCAAGAGTATTCCACAATGTGGAGTGGGCTCCAAAAGTCCATTCCTATGCTAGGAATAAATACTGATCTATTACTAGAGGCCCCAATAGATTGCCAAGGCTTCCCCATGGACTGTCTGGATCAGTCTTATGCTGGTTTCCCAGCTATCAGTCTGGGGTCCATGAGCTCCCCCTTGTTCATGTCAGCTGTTTCTGGGGGGTTCACCAGCCTGGTCATGACTCCTTTCCTCATCATTCCTCCCTCTCTGCAACTGGGTTCCAGAGTTCATCTCAGTGTTTAGCTGTGGGTATCTGCTTCTGCTTCCATCAGCTACTGGATGAAGGAAGGCTCTAGGATGGCATATAAGGTAGTCATCATTATATGCCATATCTCATTATAGAGATAGGGCATTTAAGGTAGCCTCGCCACTATTGCTTAGTTTGTTAGTTGGTGTCATCCTTGGAGATCTCTGAACATTACCCTAGTGCCAAATTTCTCTTTAAACCTATGATGGCTCCCTCTATTATGGTATCGCTCATCTTGCTCTCCTTTATTCTTCCCACGACTCAACCTTTCTGCTTCCCCATGTCTTCCTCTCTCCCCCTCTTCTCACCTTCTCTTTCTCCTAGCTCCCTCTCCTCTCACCCCATGCTCCCAATTTGCTGAAGAGATCTTGTCCCTTTCCCCTTCTCTGGGGGACCATGTATGTCTCTCTTAGGGTCCTCCTTGTTTCCCAGCTTCTCTGGAGGTATGAATTGTAGGGTGGCAATCCTTTGCTCTATGTCTAAAATCCATATATGAGTGAGTACATACTATGATTGTCTTTTTGTGACTGAGTTACTTCACTCAGGTTGGCTTCTTCTAGTTCCACCCATTTGCCTGCAAATTTCCAAGTTCTGTTCTCTGTGTGTGTTTTTTCTGCTGAGTATTGTGTAAGCATACCACATTTTCTCTATCCATTCTTCAATCGAGGGGCATCTAGGATGCTTCCAGGCGCTGGCTATTACAAATAGTGCTGCTATGAGCATAGTTGAACAGATGTTCTTGTTGTATGAATGTGCATTCTTTGGGTATATGCCTAAGAGTGGAATTGCTGGATCTTGTGGTAGACTGATTTTCCTGAGGAATCTCCACACTGATTTCAAAGTGGCTGTTCAAGTTGGCACTCCCACCAGCAGTAGACGAGTGTTCCCCTTTCTCCACATCCTCTCCAGCATAAACTATTGTTGGTGTTTTGATTTTAGTCATTCTGACAGGAGGAGTAAGATGTTATCTCAGAGTTGTTTTGATTTGCATTACCCTGATAGCTAAGGATGTTGGGCATTTTCTTAGTTGTCTTTCAGCCATTTTAGACTCCTCTATTGAGGATTCTCTATTTAGTTTTATACCCCACTTTTTAATTGGATTATTTGGTGTTTTGGAGACTAGTTTCTTGAGTTCTTTGTAAATTTTGGAGATCAGCCCTCTGTCAGATGTGGGGTTGGTGAATATCTTTTCCCATCCTGTGGGCTACCGTTTTGTCTTGTTGACTATGTCCTCTGTCTTACAGAAGCTTCTCAGTTTCAGGAGGTCCCATTTATTAATTGTCAATCTCAGTGTCTGTGCTACTGGTGTAATGTTCAGGAAGCCATCTCCTGTACCAATTCATTCAAGGGTACTTCCCACTTTCTCTTCTAAGAGGTTCAGTGTGGCTGGATTTATGTTGAGGACTTTGATCCATTTGGACTTAAGTTTTGTGCATGGTGATAGACACGGGTCTATCTGCAGTCTTCTACATGCCAGCACCCAATTATGCCAGAACCATTTATTGAAGAT